CCTTGACCAGGGCGCCTGGGTGGCTCAGTTGGTTAAGCGACTGCCTTCGGCTCAGGTCATGATCCTGGAGTACCACGATCGAGTCCCGCATCGGGCTCCCTGCTCAGCGGGGAGTCTGCTTCTCCCTCTGACCCTCTTCCCTCTCGTGCTCTCTATCTCTCATTCTCTCTCTCTCAAATAAATAACATCTTTAAAAAAAAAAAAAATAAAACCTTGACCAGTATTCAAGAAGTGCAGTATCAGGAGTCCTTTTTCTGCACAGAAGTCTTCTGGTATAGCTGCAATTTTACCCTAGACAGCATAATCTATCTTTAATGTTTATGTATTCATATGTGTTAAAATAGCAGAAGTAAACTTAGGTTTTACTTTGAAATTAAAAATTTGATTAAACACTGTCTCAACAATAAACAGCAAAATTGTCATAATATTAATAGTTTTCAATTATCCACACATTTTTAAGATTTCATTGGAATGAGTTATGGCAGTAATCTTTTCAGGTAAAATGAATTTTTACTTCCTATAATAAAAGTTGGAACAAATGGGCGCCTGGCTGGCCCAGTCAGTGGAGCATGTGACTCCTGATCTCAGGGTTGTGAGTTCAAGCCCCACGTTGGGTGTAGAGATTGCTTAAAAAATAAAATCTTTAAAAACAAAGCTACATTCTGGGTAAGAAACTGGTATAAGGAATGTGTATATAGTTGCTTTCCATTAAATGTAATGTTCTATGACTCTGATCACAGTAATTCTAAACTTATAAAACATGTTGCTCATTGCAGAAAAAATACGACATAACTTTAAAAATTAGAAGAAAAAATTTCCCTGTTGACAACTTAAAAATACCATTTTAGGACTTCTAGCTAAGGGACATAGAAAAATGATGGCAAGATTGTTGAAATTATACATGACATTGGCACAGAAATAGATGAATCGGTGGAACAGTGTAAAAACCAGATCAGGCATTTATTATATGTTAGTATTTGATAAAGGTGACATCTCAAATCAGTATGGGAAAAAATGGACTCTTCAGAATATATTAAGGCAGTTAATTGGTTAACCATTTGAATTTTGGTAGATCCATACCTCGTGCTGTATACAAAACAAATTCCATATGGGTAAAGATCAAATGTAAAAAGAAAAAGGCAATAAAACACAAAATTTGGTTATAACCATGTAATAGAATATCATGTACCATTGAAAATGATAGGAGTGTAACTCTTGACATACAGGCAAAATCATGGTATGTTGAGAAATACAGCATAAAACAGCCGAATTTTAAGTTGTAAAAATAAAAAAGAAATATATCTATGTATTTATGCTTAGGAAGGTCTGGAAGAGGAATTCTGGGTGATTTTTGTCTTCTCAGTATTTTCTGTCAGGAGCAATAAGCCTGTACTGCCTGAGTGCAGGATTGTTCTTCGTGTTTTAGAATTTTGCAGGAGTGAAAGGGCGAAAGGAAAGACAGCCTGGCAACAGAAGAGGAAGATATGGTGTTTTTCTGGGTTGGGGCAGGTTGCGGGGGGCATGGAAAGACACAGAAGGTCAGATGCAAATGAAGAGTTAGGCAACTGAGGCCAAAAATAATTTGTAGAATTCCAGAAGCAGTACAGGGTATCGGCTCACTGAATCAAAATGAGAAAGGTGGCTGAACTCCGAACCGGACAACAGTCAGAACAGAAGTATATTCAACAGTAGAGGGTGAGCATGATGACATGCTTAGAGAGCTAAACAAATACGGAGCAGTTGTGTAGGGAGATTGACACAGAGCTCCCAAGTTTATCTCTTGCCTTTTGTATGGTGCCTCATGAGTTTTGAGAGCTTTGCCATGCATCCTGTTTGAGAAAGGTTTGTCTAACTTGGTAATGACAGACATTCTCCTCTGTTTTTATGGATGAAAATACTGAAGCTTAAAGAATGTTTTGGTGACATGGCTAGTTAATAACGAAGCCAAAGCCAGAACCTGCTTTGCTTCAATCTAGTGGGTGGTCTTGTAATCATACCTCATTCTCTCAGACTTCCAGGGAGATGAGAGCAGTCCTGGGAAACACCCAGTGATTCTAGTCAAGCCTGACAAACTTGATATGAATTAATCACTGTTACCTAATACCTACCCAGCATGGTGGTTTTTCCCCACCCACCCAAAACTTTTAAGGCTCTCAAAGGTAAAATTTTTGATGAAAATGACTTGTTAATTTACCACATTAAAATGAGTTATCACATTTCACTTATCACATTAGCAAAGATAAAACTGAAACACTCAGCAAGAGTTCTGGAAAATGAATGCTCTATGCTGCTGGAAAGACTTTAAATTGGTATATTTGTAGAGGGCAATCTGGCAGTACCTATCAAAACTTAAAAATTATTTACCTTTTTCCATATCAATTTTACTTCTTGGAGTTTATTCCAAGGATATAGTGGGGAGATGCCCAAAGATAACATGTGCAAAGATTTCACCACAGCTTTGTTGATTTTTTTTTTTAAGGTTTTATTTATTTTAGAGAGAGTGGCAGGCAGGGGCAGAGGGAGAGGGGGAGAGAGAATCTCCAGCAGATTCCCCACTGAGTGAGGAGCCTGACACATGGCTCTATTCCATGGCCCTGAGATCATGACCTGAGCCAAAATCAAGAGTCTGACGCTTCACTGACTGAGCCACCCAGGCACCCCTCATGTAGACATTTTAGATTGTATCTTTCATCTCTGTTGTCTCTCCCCACCCCCACTATTACCCCTTTTTAACCAATTGCCAGAAATCCTGGTATTATCAGAATATGTGTGAAGCAAAATGGAAAACCTGTTCACCTTTAATAGAAAACATTAATAGAGTTCTCATTACTATGCATAAATAAAGCATAATGGAACTAGACCAAAGTCCATGATAGGTGATTAAAACAGTCAAAGAAATGTGGTTTTCATATAAGAACAGACTGAAAAGACTGGGATTTGTTTGGCATGAAGGTTAGGCAAAGATGTAATTTTTTTTTTAAGATTTTATTTATTTATTTGACAGAGAGAGAGACAGTGAGAGAGGGAACACAAGCAGGAGGAGTGGCAGAGGGAGAAGCAGACTCCCCGCTGAGCAGGTAGCCAGAGGCGGGGCTCGATTCCAGGACCCTGGGATCATGACCTGAGCCGAAGGCGGTCGCTTAACGACTGAGCCACCCAGGCGCCCCGATGTAATCACTTTCTAAATCTAGTTATGGAGTATAGATGAAGGGTAGACTGGTTTATTTACCAAATTCTGTGACCTCCTACCTCATCTTCACCACCCAGCTTACTCTGAAGTAAAAGAAAAAAAAAAAAAAAGGCTAACTGCCTTTTATTTTTTTATTTTTTAAAGATTTTATTTATTTATTAGAGAGAGAGAGAGAGCATGAGAGGGGGGAGGGTCAGAGGGAGAAGCAGACTCCCCGCTGAGCGGGGAGTCCAATGTGGGACTCGATCCCAGGACTCCAGGATCATGACCTGAGCCAAAGGCAGTCGCTTAACCAACTGAGCCACCCAGGCGCCCGGATAACTGCCTTTTAAAAGATCATACCCTTCTCGGGGTCCTGGGATCCAGCCCCGTGTTTGGCCCCCCGCTCAGCCGGAGGTCTACTTCTCCCTCTTCCTCTGCCCCCTCCCTGCTCATACTCTCTGTCTCAAATGAATAAATAAAATATTTTTAAAAGAATAAAAGATCATAACCCTTGTACCATTAACAGTCTGAAGGCATTATGCTTTTGAGATACATTCATGTTAGGGTTGTTTGCCCCTAACCCCATTACAACTAGATTTTAAAAATCTGAATAGTTCAGTGCAAGATATTGTACTTAATGGCACAGTGATCCATGTAATTATCTTGTTTTCTTCAGAAATAATTGATTAGAGGAAATTGCAAGTAAGAAGAAAATATATAGATTTATTATAACTAGAGGTTATTTTGGATTAATACTCAAGATGATTATGTTTTTGGGAGAAACCAGTGTGTCTGTTTTTAGGTACAATATGTCTCCGAGATAATTCCACTAGCAAAGATTGTGTGTAAATTTTCCAAGATGGGAGATTATGATTATGATGCTAAGGGGTTTTGCTATTCCAGGTCCGCAAAATCATGACTTAACAAAATATGAGCCTTCGTGGGAGGCCTGTGAAATAAAAAATATATTTGTGTGGCTTTTTAGAGTGTATAAAAATGCTTGCACATACTGTGTGGAAGTGAAGCTCGAGCTGCTTGCTAGATGTTAAGTTTTCTTAATGGCCATATAGTCTGAGTTCCATTATTAATATAGTTCTGACGCCTCATCCTTGCCTGAAGCAGTCTCTTCAGCTACTGTTCAGTGTGCTTAGGGGCAGCACAATCCTTTGGTTTCTTTTCTCTTTTTTTTTTTTTTTTTACGTTTTATATATTTTTCAACAGAGACAGCGAGAGAGGGAACACAAGCAGGGGGAGTGGGAGAGGGAGAAGCAGGCTTCCCGTGGAGCAGGGAGCCCGATGTGGGACTCGATCCCAGGACCCTGGGATCATGACCTGAGCTGAAGGCAGACGCTTAACAACTGAGCCACCCAGGCGCCCAGTCCTTTGGTTTCTTAATCAAATGTTGCTATGACCTTTGGGACTGTGTTTTGGCCAAAGATAGTTTTGTAGCAATAGAGACTATATCGTTGAAGTGCTTGCTTTTGGTTTTCTTTTTTCTTTTTCGTTTTCCTTAGATCTGTTCTGAGGACCACGATCCATTTGGGGGATGGTTACAGAACTGAACCATGGTTGGCAGTGAAAATACACGTTCAAAGTTGAATGAAAGCCTCATCCTGGAAGGGGAATGGTATTATGTTTAAACTGGCTGCTCTGGTGTATGTGGAAGAATTTGGTGTCAGTGAGTTAACTTTTTAGGTTTCAAAGTTTAAGGGAGTTTTGTTCTGTCCTTCTAGGATTATAGAGGAATTAATTCGTAGAAGACTTTGGGAAATGCTGCATTAGCATTAATCCTAGTGAAGAGTGTATCTATAGGTTAAGTGAAACATTGTCGTTCAGAGCCAGTTAAGCTTAAAGAAGCAGACCCCCTTTTGGTCTTTCCAGTGTTGGCACTATTTTGGCAGTAAGCTCTTTCCAGTTCCATGGATCTTTTTCTTACCCTGTTCTGTAGGCCTGATTTTGACATCTTCTGAATCAAACCTGAGGGCAGTGGCGGTTTTATTTGACTTTGCCAGTTGCTAGGGATCTGTTTTAACCTCTACATGCTACGTGTTCCTGCCCTTAGTGACCTGATTTGTTCCTGAAATGGTTAGCATGCAACCATTTGCATAAAAATTGGTGGTGATGTAAGATGGTTCTTCCACCAGAATACAAGTGGAAATCAGTACAGTAGAAACTGAAAGTGCTAATAAGTAGGGTGAACTTCAGGAATATTTGGGCATCCCCCAAGGATGGAAGAGTTGCAGGGCGTGATTACCTGGAAGAAAGGTATGAAGCTTCTCACATAGACCCTCCTCCCCATTCTGCCCGATGAAATTATCTTGTTTTCTTCAGAAATAAGCATTTGCCTGGCATGAGGCGGTAGCTTGTTTTGTGTTCCCTACATGACTGTACTGCCTGGGGGAGAGTTAGCCTTCCAGCCAATGATGTCTTGTAATTTTGAGGTGGGGCCTGGGGTTGAGCATAAGGTACAGAAAGTGAAAGAGAACTTATAAAAAGGAACTTGATTACTCTAAGTCCAATTTTGTTTTTTGTGTGTGTGTTTAGTGCAGGTCTTGTTTCAACTCTTACATGAGCATTATGGTTGTTGACAGTTTTCATTTCCTAGTGCTTAATTGTTGCAGGAACACATGTGTCTCGATTATTTTTAATATATGGGCAGATTTTCTTTAATTGACCCGTTGGATTCTTCCCCTCTTTTGGTGATCTAAACAACACCAAATTACTGCACTACCATTTAACTTAGAGAACTGATCATGATTGTGGCCAAAATTGTGGATTTGATGTCTGGTTTTGGATACGGCTTAAAATTATTCTCAAATAACAAGTTGATCAACATTCTTACATTGTTAGTGATGTGGTAAAGACCATTTAAATAAGACCAGTTCCTCCCAGTATAAAATCACAGAAATAAGTTTAAGATGTCATTTCTTCTCCGAACAAGAATGCAAGCCGTCTGTGAGTTCTCCAGCTCGGCTTTCATGCCTTAAAGTCCTTGGAAACCTGTCTGGAGAGCTTTCTAAATCCTGCACATTCCTGTCTTCCAGGCTTTTTTTCTGGTCCAGCAGACAGTTCAGGATCCAGAACCCAAGGATGAACGTTCACCGTGGCGGTGAGAGCGACAGGGTACTGCGGCAGGAGGCGAGCTGCCTAAGCGATGACCCTGCAGCTGCGGCCCAAGAGAGAGAAACAAATAGCCTGACTGCTTCCGCTCTTCAGAGTCTCGCTTACCCTCTAGGTTCCAGGAGCGATGGTACGATGGTTAGATCTTGACTTAATTTGGAGGGCTTTCTGACCCAAGAGCGTCCACTCTACCCAGAGGCATAAATAACATCTCCAGCTGATTGGCTTAGCTCACATGTCACAGTTACCTAAGGCTGCCCGCCACAGACAGCCCCCTGACTCAGTCAGTCCTGCACATCTAACTTGGTGGTAACAGTGTGAGGAAAAACAGTCCTGGATCTGGAGTCAGAAGACAGATTCAGATTCTAGCTCAGCTGCTTATCATCTGTAACCGTGGATGAGCTCCTTAATCTTTCTGAGCCCTGCTTTCTTAATTTGGAAAAGGGGGATATTAATATTCTTCTTACTTCACGCGACTGGGAGGCTTTGGAGTTAATGGATGTGCAGGCTCTTGATAAACTGTCCGGTTCTTTTTAACTTTGAATAAAGGCAGCGGCAACACTAATAATAGCAGTTACTGTTTATTGAGCACTCACCATGCTAGGAACTTTACATACATGTTTTTAGATAAAGAATGGCAAACTGTGGCCAAATCCAAACCACTGCCTGTTTTTGTAAATAAAGTTTTAAAATGCAGCCATCATGCCCATTTGTTTACATAGGGGCTTTGGCTGCTTTCCTGCTACAGTGGCATAGACTGTGACCCACAGAACTTTCTGGCCTTTTATCGAAAGTGTGCCGATCCCTGCTTAGAGTCCTCTTCCTTGTGCAGATGACGAAAGGAAGCTTCGGAAGCTTACAGAACGTACTCAGGCCCACACCGCTAGGAGGTGGGCGGCTGCCATTTGAACCCATGTCTTTCTGACCAGGCTGTGCTATTCTAGATGCATCCACTGGCAGAGGGGCAGGGTGTGCCTGCCATCCTAGCATGTGCCATTAGGGAGAGTTTGCGCACGGAGTCCCCCTTCCTGCTCACCCATGTATGCTTCCTTGAGGCGCCCTTCAGCAATCAGCCCACCTGAATTGCTTCATTGCTGTGGGGGGGTGAGGGTGGGGAATCAAGCATCCTGAATTTGTGATGTAGGTCCCTACTTTCATTTTTTAGAACAGCACTTTGTGAAAGCCCATCTTGGTGATGAAAGCGTTTCTTTGCTAGAAGCTTGCCTGTGGATTGTGTGGAAGCTTAGCTCTTGTTGTGCAAACAGAACAGGGCCACACTGAAAATCTGTCAAAAATCGTAGGATGTGAACCCTCAATAAGCGTTTGGTCTAGATTTTGGTTTCCTTTTCTCTAGAAGCAAATGGGAAAGAAAAGTGAGTGTACTCTAGGTCACAATTTATCTAAGGGCCCAAAGTCAGGCTCATTTACCACAAGTGATGGGCAGTGATCATGTTCATGAATTACTGTATACAGACTTAAAATACGTGCAGGATGGGAGTCAGATATTCTATTGTATCTATAACCTTTTACTTTTTTCAAAAAAATCTGAAGAAAATGTAGAAAATTTAATTAAGCTTGTCAGATCTAGGTGGCGGGATACACATATTGTGTTAACTTTGGTATGTTTGAAATTTTTCGTAAAAGAGACTTTTTTTACATTAAAATATATTAGGAGAACTGCCAATTTAAAAGAATCCTATGATAATACTTTTATATTTTCCCCCAAATTGTCTTCTGCATACATCCAGATTTCAGATATTTAGTTTTAAGCCTTTTTTGCATGATATGGTATTAGCACACTTTGAAGTGCTCTCACATACTTTATTTCAGTTGATAGAAGAATCCTGTGAGAGAGGTGGAGTGAACATGATTCTCATTTTACAGAACCGAACAAGGTTTAGAAAATTGAATAAATTGCTTTTAAAGAAAACGGCTCCTTGGTGATACTAGGACAAAAACAGGTTCCGTGAAGGAATCCTAACCCAAGGCCACTTGCATTGGAACCTTTCTGCTGAGGGCAAGCCCTGCCTCTTCAAAAAATGGTGCTGGTGATGGTAGGATTCTCCAGCGCATAGTGAAAATGCATTTTTATGTGAATTTCTAGGAAAAGTAATGCATTAGACAATTAGAGACTGTCATCCCTTCTGGGGAAATAAACTTTAGAAACATGTGGAAATTTTTAGAAGGATGTGGAAAAGGAATAGTTTCAGCGCCCAGAGGTAGCAGGTTTCTTAAATATAACACAGGAACTACAAGAGTATTATTTAGAGCTAGAAGTGGAAAGTAAAAAGTGATTTCCTCTGTGAAACAAGACCAGGGGAGGGCATGGAGTCTGGCAGGGCCTTGCTGGTTGTCCACAGAAATTCTCTACTGTTTAAATTTTTTTAAGCCATGCATATAATTTACTTTAAAAGTTTTAAATCATTTTATTTTATTTTATTAAAGATTTTATTTATTTATTTGACAGAGAGGGATACAGCGAGAGAGGGAACACAAGCAGGGGGAGCGAGAGAAGGAAAAGCAGGCTTCCCGCAGAGCAGGAAGCCCGATGTGGGGCTCGATCCCAGGATCCTAGGATCATGACCTGAGCCGAAGGCAGACGCCCAACGACTGAGCCACCCAGGCGCCCCATAAAATTTTTAAATCATTTTAAAGTGTGGGCATTATTGCCTTCCTTCTCTCCTCCCCACCGTGCAAACCTGGAAAAAAGCTCAGGGGGATCCAGTATGAGTCTCTAGCCTATTTTTCCTTTACTTGTTCAAGGCAACAGTTTTTTGCCTGCGAACACCTAAAAGTTTGAGGATTTTCTTGTTGTTTTTTAAAGAGATGAGGTTTATTTCCCCCCCAAGCCTTTTTGCTGTCAAGTTATTTTGGTTTGTTTGTATGATCTTTTAGACCTTTCACTTGACTATGCCTCTCAGCCAGCAAATCTTCAGTTCCCTCACATAATGCCACTTCCCGAAGACGTCAAAGGCTCCTGCTTCCAAAATGGGAATAAACGGAACCATGAACCCTTTATGGCTCCAGAACGATTTGGAAACAGCACTGTGGGCTTTGGCAGTAACGTTCATTCCCAGGCGCCAGAGAAAGTGACACTTCTTGTAGATGGCACACGTTTTGTTGTGAATCCACAAATTTTCACTGCTCATCCGGATACCATGTTGGGAAGGTAATTGATGATAATTTCCTTCCAAATTCACTCTCTTCTCTATGAATAGAAATATCTTCTGTTTATCTTGCACTAGATGTGAGGAAAAGAAGCCCTGCATTGCTTATTTTTCTACCTTCACAACTTTGTGAGACAGGGAGGGCAGGCTTATACAAAGCCTTATATGTGTTGATGATTTGGGGGATGTACTTAATTTATTTACAAAGCCAGTATAATAAAATGGGCCCCCACAAAGGAGAGTGCAATCAGAACTATGGAAAATAATCTGCTGAATATCCTTCCCTCTGAAACAGAAGTCACACACCTCATCTCTCTTAGCCATAATTCGTACACCCTCACAAAAGTAATCTTGTCTGAGCTCCACAGGTCAAAGACAGGGTTAAGGGAAGATCTGAGTTGTGGGGTTTTTTTTTCTTTTGTCTTTTAATAAAAAATAGAATTAGACACGTGTTCCATATGACACAACAGCAAAACTGTTTTACAGGAAAGCCTTTTGGCTGCTGTCCGTTGCCCGCTCTGCTTGGCAGCAGGTGTCAGGCTGTCATTTTCTGATGCCTCCATCTCTATTCAAGTTTTCCAAAACTGAATCTTTCTATCTGGCTGTTGTACTGTGTCATGACTGCTCTCTCTTTTCTTCATGTTCCATTTTCTGTGCTGCTTCACTGAAGACCACAGTCTTACCCTCTTCTCCTCATCTCCTGCCTCCAGCATTTTAGGGGTAGAGTTTAGGAAATGGAAGAGCCTGCCAAGGAGGAGCACTGGCCAGAAAGTGTTCTTGGAGCCTGGACTGGGAGTTAGGAGGTTCTCCTTCTGGCCAACCATAGACCTTAACATGAGGAAGAGCAAATTGGGATAAGAGTAAAAATAATAATAATGATGATGATGATGTATGTGTATATACACATAGACATTTGGCTTTTGAGGATTTTCATCTACTTGGAAGTAGATCTTAAAAGATCTAACCTCACTCAGGAGGTTAGATTTCATTAGAAATCAGAATGGACCACACTCATTTGTTGAATTTTAGGCTAAATGGAATCCAGCTATTCAAATATATTTATATTTGAACATACACATGCAGATTCATGATGAACCATTTTTAACTATAAAGAAACCTGTATATTTCTCAAACATCTGAATTAAGACTAAACTAGAACATCAAAACATTTTCCAGACTGGCCCTACATTTTATCAGACTTGACTTCCTGTCCTTAGTCTTGGTGTTGCTACCACTGCCCCCCCACCACACCCACACCCCAAAACAGTGTTCCCTCGGTGCTGACTGGCTCTTTGAGGTAGATTGCCTCTGACAGTGATCACGAGAAGAAAGGCAAGCATTTTCTGTTAATTCTTGGGTGACCCTCTTTCTTTGAATCTAGGAATGAGTTGTCCCATGGCAAGAGCGTCTGATTCTTTATCTAGGTGGTTTATCAGCTGAGGTTATCAGTTCTGAGAGTTACTTAGGTTTGCACTGTCCTGAGGTTACATACAGTGTTGGTAAGCCTAGGCAGTGAGCTAAAAAATGTGGGCCACTAGTCACAAGGGGGACAAGCCGAGAGATTGCAAATGGATTAATGTTAATCCATACCACTACCAGATAAATAACTCTGAGCTTAGGTCTTGCTGATGATAGTTAAGGGGTTGGAGGGGGTGGCATTACATGGCATGTTGTTCACTATTTTGATTCATAACTGTCTTGGCTAGACTTTAACCAGAACATTCCAGAAAAATGTCAGCATTCTTTGAAGACACTTTTATCAGGATGGATTTCTTATATATGGTGTTAGTGGTTTGGAAAGTATGTGATTTGGAATCTTTTTCAGACCTTTGAAAAGCAGCCAATTTAGGGTGGAGGATAACAGTTTTAACATTGAACAGCAGGGCTTCCCAGCAGGTTAAGAAAGGAAATGACAGTGAGGCGTCATTGGGAACTTAAATCCGGCTGGCTGAAGATCCTGACTGCCTGCCCCGTCCCTCACACTGGTTTCCCATTCCACAGCTCAGACGTGCAACAGGAGTGGTGGAAGTCAAGGGGCCAGTGTTACTGGAGGGGATCTGAGAGGGAGGAAGGAAGGATGGGAGAAGGTGAGTAAGGAAAAGCAAGATCTCCCTGTGCCCTCCTGACCTCTGAGTTCATGCACAGAGCAGGCTTGCCTCTCTAAACTATGTCAAACCACTGAGAAGCCTAATACCTCCCATCCCTGTCTACTTGACCTGAAGTTCCTGTCATTAGAGTTACTCCTTGGATTGAAGAAGGGCATTTTCCCCAGAGCTCCAGCATTAAAATGTACCAGGAAAGGGAGAACAGTAACATCTGCACCCACCAGTATAGATGCATCTATCACATTAGATGTTGAAAAGCAAAACTCAGAACTGAGGACTGACACGCTAGATAAGTAAGGAGGAGGGAAAGGACCAGGAAGGGTCAGGAGCAGGAGATGCACGGTCTTCCTGAGCTGCCGGCATATCCCTGGGCAGTGGGGAGGGCGTGAGAGGCAACCCTCACACGTGCCAGAGATTTTCCAAGGGCCAACTCTGCAGATGCTGCTTTACTTCATTTGCTGTGACAGAAGCTTACCACCCGTGATCCTTGAGGACTTGCTGCTTCATTTCTCCTTGCTCTCAAACGCTGTAAGCAATCACTACCACCTTTTCTGTCTGGAGGGAGCTGCTGCTTAGGGGTTGGGTCCCACTGCTGTGTTTTCAGTTTATACTATGAGAACATGGAATGGAGTCTTCCAGAATGAGGTGGAAAGGGGAGCAGTCCTCATGCGTGAAGAATCCCGCTGGACTGGAAAAGATTAACATTGTTGCCTGATGTCTTTCAGAATGTTTGGACCAGGAAGAGAGTACAACTTCACTCGGCCCAACGAGAAGGGAGAATATGAGATTGCTGAAGGAATCAGTGCAACTGTATTTCGAACAGTGCTGGTGTGTAGGAGCCTTGTTGCATCCTTTTCCCCAGGGGCAGGCATAGGCAGAAGCCTCAGGAGTTCCATCGAACTGTTACTGACTTTAGGGTCTCTGGTTCCCAGTTCCCTTTCCCTCTTACTTTCTGTTCCTATAACTTTGAAGTACTTCTTGTGTGAGCTCAGTCAGCTCTCAAGGTGTGACTAAGCATGCCAGGAGAGCCAGGAGCCGCTTTGCCAGCTGACAAGTCAGCCAACTTGGTGATAGTTCTAGTAAGCTACCATTTTAACAGAACCAGGAATGGATAGGGGGTTGAAGAGGTCACTTTTCATCTTGGTTCTTTGCCTACATTTCTTCTTTTTAATCCATTTACAGGATTATTACAAAACTGGTATCATCAATTGTCCTGATGGCATCTCTATTCCAGACCTTAGAGATACATGCGATTATCTCTGCATTAACTTTGACTTCAACACTATCCGATGTCAAGATCTGAGTAAGTTACAGATACCTATTACCTGCATTTGAGCAGCTGAACTTTGAGTTTGCTTGGAATCGACTGATTTTTTTTTTAATCACTAAAGAAGAGTTTCAAGTGTGGGCTGAAAATCATTTGCAGAAGCAGAGACGTGATACTAACCTATTCCCTCTCCGGCTTCACAGCACTGTGAGGAAGTGGAGTAAACCAAAGAGAATGCACGGTGGGTTCTGAATCTAGCTTGTCCAGTGAGGCACCGAGCTAATCGCTTACCCTCTTGGGACCTTGGTGTCTCAACTAATAAATAAGGATACTGATTCTTAGACATGAGTGAGCCTTCCCTCATAGAGTCAAACAGCGTAAATTGGCTGGGTGGTTCTTAGAATCATTTTTACCGTTATTATTAACTTTGTGTTTACTAAGGGCTTTCTAGATATGAACTTGCTTAATTCTTGCAACAGTGTGAGCCCTAGCAAGTCGGGTGATAACCCCCTTTAACAAATGAGAAGACTGAGAAATTGACTTGTTCAAAGTTCTAAAAAGCTGGGATTAGAGCTGATTGACTACAAACACCATTCTCTTATTAACACCTAGGCTTCCTGAAATTATTTAAAAAATTATTCTTTGAGGTTCACGATATGTTTCCCTGCATATTCCATGAAGTTCTCTAGACTTGTGGTTTCTCTACTGGGTCTAGCGCACACTTAGAGCAAGTCCCTTGGTGTCCTCAAACTTCAGATGATCCCTCTTCTGTGGTACCATAACTCCACGAAATTGGGGTCCAGAGCATCTTCAGAAGAGGTACTACAAATGATGGTTCTTTCTCTTGTAGAATTAATGTGTGTGGTTTGACATTGTATAGCTAACAAAACCTCAGTTGGTCAAAATGCTCAGGGATTATTAAACATGAAGGGGGCACCTGGGTGGCTCAGTTGGTTAAGCATCTGACTTGGTTCCTGTTCAGGTCATGATTTCGGGGTCATGGGATCGAGTCCCACATCGGCTCCACACTGGGCATGGAACCTGCTTGGGATGCTCTCTCTGTCTCCCTCTGTCCCTCCCCCCCTCCCTCCCTCTCGATAATAAAATAAAAAATAAACATGAGGAAGTTAAGGAGTGGTAAAACGTGCAACATATCTAACAAAATCAGCTTAATTAGCGCCTCGGAGCAAGAAACCATTTTCTGCCTTTATGGGCCACCTCTCTGGAACTTCTCAGTGGTAACGGCCATCACCTCATAGTCTTTTCCTCTCCAGTAATATCTGCATTCGGCCGGGGGGATGCTCACCTACGGCTTCTCTCCCCAGGTGCTTTGCTGCATGAACTGTCCAACGACGGTGCTCACAAGCAGTTTGACCACTACCTCGAAGAACTGATCTTGCCCATCATGGTGGGCTGTGCCAAGAAAGGGGAGCGAGAGTGCCACATCGTTGTGCTGGCGGATGAGGACTCCGTGGACTGGGATGAAGACCACCCCCCCCCCATGGGGGAGGAGTATTCCCAAAGTAGGAGCCCCCGCGTGGTGCAGACGCTTTCCGCACCAGACGTGCTGCCCACAGTAGCGGTTAGATCCCGGAAGCGGCGTGAATGTCACTGTTGAGCTGGCGAGGCGCATGCTCACCTGGACGATCAGGGCACGGGATGCAGGGCTGAGGTCTCTGCTGAGTGTGTCACATTGTCACACCTGCTGCTGCCCCTGGTGTCGGATACTGGGGTGAGACAGAGGCCAGACTGAGGCCATTTACTGGTGGCGTCACTCTCCTCTCCGCTGGTTCCACTTTTAGTGAATGTACCGATTCAGAAGGTACAAAAGGATGGATATACATTGAAGAGTCTTGATCCCATCCCTGCCTCATCCACCCGGTTTTCCTCCTCAGCTTCTTTTATATCCTTCAGACGTATTCAGTGCACATACATAAGCAATTACATCCATGGTTTTTCCTTTTTTTCAAATGCTTCCATAGTCTACAGACTGTTCAACACCATGTCTTTCATAAAAAGCTTCCGCGATCTTTTTAATGGCTGTCTAGTGTTCCACTGCACAACCGTGCCAGGACGGAATTAACTAGCCCTGTTGTTGGACACTTAAACTATAAATTGTGAATGATGCTGCAATAAATAGCCTTTTAAATGGAGTCTTTTTCACACGTGTATCTCTATAGAATAATATTCCTAGAAATGGAATTTCTGTGCCAAAGCTTTGTTTCTTTATAATTTTGATAAATGTTGCCGAATTCTCCTCCTATATTACACTCACAAAACAATATGTGGCAGGTTTGTTTTCCACACCCTCACCAAAACAGTGTTTTACTAAACTTTTATCTTTGTCACACTGATAGGTAAAAAATAGCATCGCATTTATGTTTTCATTTGCATTTCTCATTTCATGATCAACACTCACCATCTTTTTTATTTTTAAGAGCCTTTTAATTTCCTTTTCTGTAGCTTTATTTGTGCCTTTTGCCCATTACAGAATCGGATTGGCTTTTACTTAGTGATTTGTGAAGGCTCTCTATTTCTGACCACTCTCTCTATATATAATAAGGAAATTAGCCCTTTGTAATGTGAGTTGCAGGTATTTTTCCCAGTTGACTTTTGGTTTTTTGTTTTTAGCTTTGTTACAGTGGTTTTAGCTAAGCAGAGATGTTGTATTTTTAAGTAGGTGAATGTGTCAGTTTTTATATTATGGCTTCTGGGTTTTATGTTGTACCCAAAAGGTCCTCCCCACCCTGAGACTATAAAAATTTCTCATGTGGTTTCTTTCTTATGTTTGATCTATTACTTAACATTTAATCTGTGATCCAACTGGATCTTTTTTTTTTTTTTCTTTTTTGGCGTCAGGGTCAGGTATACCTTTCATCAGTCTGATTCTGTTAGCTCATCTCCCTCCTCTTTTAGAAGTCTTTACTCCATGATTAACTCAATTTTTCTTTTTCCAGTTCTTTATAGCTCCAAGCTCTATAGATTCTTCAAATATATTGAGAATCGTGATGTCGCTAAAACAGTGTTAAAGGAGCGAGGCCTGAAAAATATTCGCATTGGAATTGAAGGTAATAAATATCCCCATTAGTATTCAGCTTGCATGGCTCATGGAGTAGGTCTTATCTATGGGCCCAGCTTGTGTCCTTAAAACCCGGCTTCCAGAGGACAGAGAGAATAGGCACACATGAAAACTACATTCCTACCCGTGTGAGGGATTCCTGGTTTTGTTTTTTTTAATCCTTGTATTTCCTTTTCATTTTATTTCCAGTCATAAATGCTTACTTAAATTAAAGCAGCTGCAGGAATAAGTTCCGGTGTACTGCTTCGGGACAAAGCAGTGAGGGCTAAAGACACGGGGGCGGGGGGGGGGTGGTGGTGGTTGTGGAGCAGGGCCCGTGGGCTCACCAAGTGGGAGAGTCATTCCACCAACAGTCTTGGTGAAGATCTTTTTGGGATCTGTGAAGATCTTTTTGGGATCCTATATATATCTGTATAGATATATATCTATATATAGGCCCATTATATATCTGAAGTATAATAGTCCTTCTGAAAATTATAGCTTGGAGACTCAAAATTTGATTTAATTCCACTACATACCTTTGAGGAATGTCTATGTGTATTGATAGAATGGTTTGAAGTGATCTTGAGCAAATGGCTCCCAACCTGTGGTCTCCATAGAACGGTCTTAGACACTGATTCTTCGAGAATGCTGAAGCCATCCTGGTCTCCCCTCCATGAGTCTTTGACTCTTGAGTTTTGCTGTGCTTGCTATCTCGGTCTTGCCTGCAGAACCCATCAATCTTCACTGCGTCTGACTTAGGTTGGAATTTCAGGTGGGAAGAGATTTTTGAGGTCTATTAAACCTGTTTCCACTGTGTCCCTCCTTTGTCACTGGAAACCCCAGGAACAGGGTGACAAGGATTACTCCATTCCCCATCAGACTGTCCTACCATTAGAACATTCGTCCATATATCTAGTAGATAACTTACTCTCTCTTCAGTCTTCCTTCTAGTTCTAGCCTCTGAAGCTACTCTAAGATTTCTCCCATTTCCATGTGATAGCCTTTCAGATATTTCAGGCAACTTCCCTGTTTTTTTTTTCTTTAGGCTACACATTACACACTTTCTTAACCACTTCTCCTACAGTATGAGATAAGCACTAGAATTAGAGACTGGAATTCACCATGGCCTAGCAGGATTTCTGTTCTGTGGCATTGTTGCCAGTAAGTACAGGCTTCTGAAATTACTAAGAGGCTGTTCCCGCCCTGTCATTAGAAGAGAGAGAATTTTTGTTACTTCCCTTCCAGGGACAAGACCTACTAACCTGGATAGGTGGGAAGTGAGCACATAGGTGGGTGGGAGTGGCAGGGCATGGTCAGAGGTCATTTCCCCAGCCTTTGAATGTGGGAGGAAATTAATGTGGTTAGAGAAGAGAAAGTGTGGAATCTAGAGTGGGCAATTTCCTGGAGTCATGAGAATGGCCTTTTTCTGTTTTAGGTTACCCTACCTGTAAAGAAAAAATTAAGAGAAGACCCGGTGGCCGGTCTGAAGTAATCTATAACTATGTGCAGCGCCCCTTTATCCAGATGTCCTGGGAAAAGGAAGAAGGGAAGAGTCGCCATGTAGATTTCCAGTGTGTCCGAAGCAAATCCCTCACTAATCTGGTAGCTGCAGGAGAAGATGTCTTAGAGGACCAGGAGATAGTAATGCACCACCCACCTCAGGTGGATGAACTCGACCGGCTGAATGCCCCACTTTCTCAGATGGCATCTAACGACTTTCAGGATTAGGGCCAGCTGTGGACCCGTGTCTCTTCAGAGCCCTTCTCTGTCTGCGATGCCCACAGCCAGTTCTCCCCTTGGTTTGTCTCCCCGAGTATCAGGAGACCTGCTTCTCCATCCTTTCCCTTTCTCCTACAATTAGCGTGTGTCCTTTTCATTACTGAAAAGTCTGTGCCTCCGGCAGGGGATAAAAAAGCACTCACTGGCAAATAAGCTACCAGCTTTGCAGCAGCCCTGGTAACTTGAAAATTTTGGATCTGGTGCCGTTTACAGAGTCTTTGCATAACTGCAAAAAGTAGGAAAGGAAGTCGACTCCCATTGGCTCATATTCATCAAAGCAGTCCTCTCATCCTTGATACTTTGTCCTTGGCTTTTTCGTTTGTTAGTTTTATACCAGACAAATTACGTAGCAGAGCAAAGGGACCAAACCTTAAAAAAAGACAATCTCTAGCTTCCACAAGCAGGCGCTAATGGGATTCTCATTAGGGTTCAGTGAAGATGCCATTCCTGGTAGCCTCTGTGCCCAGACCTGCATCTGGGAAGAACTAGGCTCTCTTCAAAACGTCCAAAAGGAGATTTCTTAAGAGTTTAAATTCAGTTTTTTCATTAATGCAATGAATAGTTCAAAACCGCACAGATCCGACTGAAGTCCAATAATAATGTAACAACATTTATGAAACCTTTTTAGGTTCAAGGTTTTTGAGTCTAAAGAAATCATTTGGAATGAAATTCACAACTCAAGTAGAAGAACCTGTCCAGATCAGGCCACTTTGATTATCCTGGCTTGGAATCTGGTGTGAAGCCATAGGTCTTCACCCTAGGCAGCACATTGCTGTGAGTGTGGCTGGGAAACCTTAGATGATATGGCTGAAAGGCTTTTAATAGACAGGCAGAAATTTCTCACAAGTGCTCTGTTTCTCAATAGAAAGACTTCAAAGAGCTCCAGGGAAGGGGGCATTTGGGGTAAAGCTGGGTGGGGAGATGTCACCTGCCCCGGCTTTGTCCCAGTGCAGGATTTTTCTTTGTATATTCTTTTCATACTATGGAATTTTTTTTGGATATCAGGATATTTGTTTTTGAAGTAGCCTATCACTGGGTTAGAAAACCATACTACTGTCATCCCCAAAGGATAGATGAATTGAGGGGTATTAGGCCTAGTAATTTTGTTTGATCTTGTTGGCTCTGTGTTAATAATGCATGTTGTGTGTGAACCCAGACCACTCCTCCCAGTACTGAACCATTTTCCCTCGTGTCCTCATGGCTATTAACAGCAGAACTAAGTTTAGAGTCTAGAGCCAGATGTTAAGTGTCTGGGGATAATCTCCCATTTTATGATAAAGTTGGCATTCTAATCACCTACCCAGAGCCTTTACCCATCACAGATTTCAAAGAGGTACATAGTTTTCTTCAAGTTCTTTAAGGAAACATGACTAGTTTTCTTAAATTCCATTCCCGTAAGATACCATAGAGCAAGCTAGGTGACTCCATTTTGACTGCCCTAGTTGTAGCCCTCCAAGGGTAAAGTCAGATGGGTGTCGAAAGCTGTTTTTTCCAGGCTTGAAGAACAAGAATGTTCTTAAGTGTGTTCTCTGTGCATGTGACCAGCATCACAGTGGAAATCAATACTCCGTTCATTACTCAGAAAACAGTAGTAGTAAGGGGTTAAACTGAGCCATCTCCCACTTAGAGAATTCTTCTGACTACCACTGGCATCCAAATTGTAAGGCTGATGGTTAAAGTTTAGGGTGAAGGTTTTTTTGTAGCCAGAGGGTACTTTTATGTCTGTGAAGCTCCTTGACTCCTATTTGAGGTCAGGTTTGGCTTTGACCATGCCAGTATTTCATTCATACCTGCTGGTAGTTGACCAACCCAGATAATCGTTTAATGGTGCTGCTTTTCTGCTTCTCAATTGACTTCCTCCCATGCCATCACAAAGGAAATCTGAATGAACTGTGTTAGTCTAGTAAGTATAACGTCTGTTCTCCATCTTCTGTATGAACATCTAAGTGTGAACATGCTGCAGCTGACCCTCTAAAACCAATTAGTCCTTGCTTAGGTAAAAAGCCAAGTATGAAAGTATGGCATGGACTTAGCACTCTATTCTATGTAAATGATTAATTTCCTCGGGCTTTCAAGAAGTATCTCTCTCCCCCGCCCCCCAATTGGGTTAATGTGCTTTTGGTCCCAACCCATGGGGTGAGTGAGCTGGAAACCGTACAGGTTAATCTGCCAGTGTCACTGGATGGTGGAGACGAAGGGAAAAGTGGGGCCCACAGGTCCCTTCTGGTGAAGAGGGGGGTTTCTTCTGCACCCACCACCCTCCCAGCCTGGAGCTGGAGCTCAGCATCACTGCAGTTTCTGAGCTCCCCTTCCCCAGGGCCAAGCCATTCCATGATGGCAGGACTGCTGAGTCCCCACAGGGACAGGGGCTGGGTTGCAGTCATTCCCTTCAGAGTCTGTTACTGGCCAGGTGGCAAGAGAGATTTCTAATAAAGGTGGAACTCAGGTTTGGTGGGTTTTTTTTTTTTTTCTTCTAAGTGCCTAAATAAGCCAGGCTGTTTATACAGAGCCATCTTCAGAGGAAGATGTTTCGCTCAGACGGTCTTACTCAGAGGTAGCTCCGCAAGCCAAGAGGAACCTGAATTTGAGATTTAGAATCTGAGTTTGTGAATGCATCATTATCTTGTATCGCTGACTGGGAAACATTTGGCATTGAGCTGGAGAGTGGGCAGAGTGTTAACATGTGTCTGGTAAGATGATCATGGTTTCTCCAAAGTGGAGGAAAAGTATTGAAAAGATGTTAGCAAAAATGGTAAGGAAGCTAGAAAGTACATTTACTGCATAATATGTAATAGCCACTATTACTAGCTAAATTATTAATAGCTAAATTCCAAGAAACCAGTATGTCATCTAATGTATACAGGTCTATGAAAATACTACGGAATAAGCCCAGGAAGGATGGAAATATTTGCAGAAAACAATCAGCACAGGCTTTAACTCAAATTGTCAAAGTGTGATATGGAGTCTTTTTTTTATCGAGTGTCAACAGAAAGTTAAGAATCAAGGGGTTTTAGTAATTTATCCAGTGCCACTTCTTGCCATTATTTTGAAATTGTTAAAATGCGCATACAAGTTCAGAAAGCAAACCTGATGCCTTCCCTGGGGGAGATGGAGCCACGTTCCGTGCTCTGGGTGGGATCACCTCTGCAGGAGAACATTACATTTTCTCTTAAAGGCAAAATGCTTGTAGATTTTTGCCTCTTTACTTTGTATTTACTTTTAAAGTTGCACTTGTTCACCTACCAGTGTTTACGAAATCCTTTAATTGGGATGCTTTTTCTATAATAAAATATTATCATTTGCATCCATGGTTTTTTTTAGCAGAAAATAAAACTGGAAGTCAACATGTTAAAAGGGACCTAAAGCAGCAGCACATTGATTGCCTGGAACAGAGCCTCTTCCTTTCCTGCGGGGCCACAGGATCACTTTGAGCCTGTGTGTGCTCTTCCCACCCTACTATCTGTAACTCACAGGTTCCAGAACCCTAATAGTCTGCCTTCTTGAGTTCCTGGCTAATTTACATTCAAGACCTGAATCCTCAAGTCCAACCAAGTAGGACCCCACAAAGCCAAATATAAGTTTGATAGATAAGAGGACTCACCGACTTTTATGTTCTGGTTTAAAACAAGTGAGGAGCCATGGCAGGAATGAAAGGCAGGTCCCCTGGAAACACTGCTATAAAGCTTCTGGCTCCTCTGATCTCTCTGATTTGGCCCAACTCTAGTCAGGTGCCGCCTGAGTTCCAGCTCACTTAGCCCGGGAGCTTATTGGTGATCCAACTTCAAGGCCAGCACCTTCCCAGCAGGCCTGCCTTTATCAGCACAGAGGTTACGGACACACTCTGAAGAGATGGCCTGATGAGTATACTCTGTGCCAAGCACTGCATGACCACAGGGACACCATGACCGGGACACAGTTCCTCTCCAAGGGGTTTTTATACTTGCAGGGAAAAGAGATCTATGAACAGTCCAGGTCACTCAGGAAACCCAAAAGGATGGAGTAGTCAGTTTTTACCATGAGGAGAGTTCACAAGAGGATTCTAGACGTGATCCATGAACCAAGTTGTAAAGAATGAATACTAGTTGTTTTGGATCCACGAATATGCAGGGAGGAGGTATTCCAGGCCAACTCAACTATATGAGCAAAGATGCAAAGGTGAAATGATTATCAGGGAAGGTGGGGTGATGCAGAGATGAAACCAGAGTAAGGAAGGACCCTTCTACCTCAGACAAAGGTGTCTGGTCTCATTTTTAGAAACCATTGGGAACCCAAGAGAGTTTTATGCAGGAGAATGACATGTCAGACCTGAGGCTTGAATTTCTTCGGCAGCAGGGAAGGCAGTGGACTTGAAAGGGGAAGGACCAGGGATAAAGGAGGTCAGCTAAGGGGTCACTGCAGTAGATGCTTCAAGAAACAAAGGCACTGGTAGGATGGATGGCCGTGCCCCAGAGTTCTGCGTGTTTACCGATGGGAGCTGGGTAAGAAGTTTCTGGCTGGACAGCTGAGTAGACAGAGTCAGGCAATGGGAAGCAAGAGGAGCTCCGTTCGGACGGTGTTTGAGCCTGAATGAGGCCTTCGGCGGTATCTAGCAGGCACTTGGCTATGCGGGATCTAGAGTTCTGCGGATGAAGCTGGGAGGCTGGTCACTTTGAGGACCTCACCACAAAAAATGGTAGCTGAAGTCACTGTGTTGGGGAGATCACCGAGATCACATGAGTAAAAAGAGGGCAAAGGCATTGCTCGAATGATCACCAGCATTTAAGTGGTGGCAAGGGAACCAAGAAGGAAGTCAAGTGAGAATAGAGTTTTCGTTTTAACAGTATGCGTGCAGCAGGCTGATCAAGTAAGGTGAGGGCTGAAAGGGGGCGCCTGGGTGGCTCAGTCAGTTAGGTGTCTGCCTTCGGCTCAGGTCATGATCCCAGGGTCCTGGGATCGAGCCCCGCTGAGCGGGGAGCCTGCTTCTCCCCCTGCTGTCTCTTCTCTCTCAAATAAAATCTTTAAAAAACAAAAACGATGAGGGCTGAAGTATAGGTAGTATCCATTTCCCCGGAATGATCTGTGAAAGCCAACACTGACTTAAAAACCACCGCCACGATGCTCTTTCAGGCACACTTTCAGAGAGCATCTTGCCCAAATCACACTGAAGTGTCCATCATATACAGAGCACAGTACTGGGCACTCTGGGATGCACTGGCCATGGCAGTCAGGACACCCGTGACCAGAGGAATGACGATAAAAATGAATACTAGTATGTTTTATACCCGGAATAATGAATACATGTTTCACACAAGGGACAGAAATTGGATGAGGTGAAGTGGGAGAGGGAAATGAAGTAACAAACGTGACCACAGAGTGTTCCTCCCAAAGGAACAACTCCCACGCCTCGGCCGCAGCACAAGACCAAACCTACCAGCCTCCAAAATCCCGGGCTATATCACCTCTGCAAGTCACTGCAACTAAGAAACCTCTCCCAGAAGCTTCCCTCAGCTTCTGTAACACCTCTAGGCCAGCTTAACAGTACTGGTACACCGTTAAGAACTTCACAGCTAGTGCTGTGTGCTGTTGAGCCACTTGATGGGAATTCTCCACCTGCTCTGCAGTTCAGGACCATGGCAGGCTCCCCAGTGCATCCCAGAGTGCCCAGTACTGTGCTCTGTATTATGATGGACACTTCAGTGTGATTTGGGCAAGATGCTCTCTCAAAGTGTGCCTGAAAGAGCATTGTGGCGGTGGTTTTTACGTCAGTGTTGGCTTTCACAGATCATTCCAGGGAAATGTATACTACCTAGCAAAGGAAAATACCATTCACTGAACGCTCTGAGTTCAAGAAAAACTACCATTTGGGGTTACAAACAGGAGAGAGTGAAACCCAAATACGCCTTCCAAGGAACCAATTAAGAGAAAAAGCGTTAGCAGTTGATGGCAGAGGATTCCTATTATGCCATATAGATGAGTTTTAAAATTGCAACCTGCTATTCAGAGCCTGAATATTAATCCCAAAGGAACTCATCCGTAGCTTACTTTTGAAAAAGTAATTCTAAAAAGAAACAGGTACTAGGCGCCTGGCTGGCTCAGTCAGTAGAGCATGTGACACTTGATCTCAGGGTTGTGAGTTCAAGCCCCATGTTGGGTGTGGAGCCTACTTTGAAAAAATTAAAAAAAAAAAAAGTACTGAAGAAAATCGTGATGCACCCCTGAATCAAGAGGAGACTGGATGACATCAGTATTTAGTTTCACTTCAGTAGGCAGTACGGTTCAAGTCCTATTTCCTAACTCCCTCTAAGAGAGCAGGAAGCAGAACTATCTGAGGAGGACCAACACCAAACCAATGGTTCTGAACATGTTTCTTGAAACCCTAAGTTCTGCAAAGACAACACACATTCTGGCTGCATTCAGCTTCCTCCTCCCGCCTGCATTTCTGATCCTGGATGATCTTTGCTCTTCTTGCTTCTTTTTGAGGCTCCTTTCCCTAGCCCAGAGAGGGTACTAATGAGGGGACCCCACAGGACTCCTGGTCTGGTGGACCTGGAGGGTTCAGCAGAAGTCCCATCCCAGGAGCCTGTGAGGTTCCTGGTCAACACCAGGCTGGGTAAACAGCTGTACAAATGTCCACAGCAATTGTCAGCAGGTGTCCCCTTAGCCTTGCTGCAGGGGAGATCCCACTGCCCCGCAACCCTGAGCCAGGTGGGAAGAACACATGCAAGTGGCCAACAGAAGATGGTCTCTTTATACAAACTAACCCAGAAGGCTCGTTCTCAAGGAAAAAAGCAGGCCCCAGTCTCCCTAAGACAGAAAAGCACATTGCCTAAATATGGTGATGAAGTGTTCCAATGGTCTGCAATTGGGTTAAAAGAAGCCACCAGCAATCTGGCCCCTTTCAGTTACAAGCCACATTTAATTTTTTTAAAACATTTTATTTGAGAGAGAGAGCACAAGTGTGGGGGGGAGGGGGAGGAGGGGGGAAGGGGGAGAGAAGCAGACTCCCCGCTGAGCAGGGAGCCCAATGCGGGGCTCTAACCCAGGACCCCGAGATCATGACCTGAGCCAAAGGCAGATGCTTAACCAACTGAGCCACCCAGGCGCCCCCACATTTGCTTTAAAACACATCAGATTCACACTGTTTTCACACAGTTTATTCAGAAGTTTAAAATGTGGGCATTTTCCCCTAAAACAATCATCCCCTGCCACTCCCCACACACAGACTATCACCACTCCTGTGAACTCTTTACCGTGCTTACCACACATACTTGCAAAACACCTGGGGGTCAAAACCTCAACTATTTGGTAATACAATGAAACTACAGAGTTACACAAAAGAATCTCATTTACTTCCTTTCACTAGCAGACCGTGAATGAAAGATTAAGGGGCAAACATTACCTTCGTCCAAAGTTAATACTTCCCTAATATTTTTTTTCTTCCTCTAAGACATTAAAACCCAAAGCAGTTTCATTTACTCCTGTAACTCTGATATCCCATTTTTCGTTTGTGAATAGCTAAGCCAGGACATACTTTTCAAGGTGATCTTAACCTCAAGACTGGTAGAAAGCAGACTCCCAGCTGCAGCTTGGCCATGATGCTTTGCAACAGGCAAAATCACCACAGAGGTGAAAATGATGCTTTCAGAGTTCTCAAAAACTTTAAAATAATGCATTACTATGGAGCCTCCACATTTTTCTGATGCAGCAAAATTCCTCTTAAGGTGGTGGCAGCTGTGAAAGAAAAGGCACTTTGTGCTAAAATTCCGAGGGTCTCTCATGAGTGCCACAGCAGAGAGGCCTGCTCAGCCCAAGCTGCAGGCTACCCTTTAGGGTGGAGAGGAGCATCCCCCAGGAAGGCCTCTGCAAAGGAAAAATCTGTAATCATGATTCCAAGGCAAAATGGTTACTTAAACTGGAGAGGACAAACACAAAGACCGAGAGAGAGAAGACAAAACACAGTTGCACCAAGGACTTAGGAGTGAACTTCACAGGGATTTGTAGGCTGGCTCCGCACTTCGTACTGGGCCGGTTCCTTCACTTCCAAGGAGGTTCTGGAGACCGAGCAGGGGCAGCACCTCAGCCAAGGGGGTTCCAGGCCTGCTGCCTCGGCCTGGACTCTCCTTGCTGTGTTCCCAGGAACAGAGCGAGTTCCTGCTGGCAGCACTTGTGGCTATTGCTGGTCCGCAACAACATCTGTCTTAGGGATTTTCTAATACAGCCGTGAAGAGACGGTAAGGGTTTTCCACATGATCTGGGAGTCCTTGGCAAAGCCCAGTGGCTTGGTTCTTCTGAGAGCGACAATGGATCACGCTAGTATCCCCCATC